AGTTGCCCAGGCAGGTCTCGAACCCATGGGCTCAGGCAATCCACTCACCTCAGCCTCCCAAAGTGCTGGGATTACAGGTTGAACCACTGAGCCCATAAATCTCTTTATCTGTTGAGTGCTAACCCCATGCCATGCATAATGCAGGACCTTTTATATATTTGTTAAAACATTAAATTCTCACTTTGCATGTAGGTATGAGTATCCTTATTTATTAAAGGAAAGGAAACTGAAGCCCTGAGATGTTAAAGTATTGCTCAGTAATGCACAGTTAGCAAAGGATCATTTTTTTCTCTTGGAAAGCCACATGTATTTCTCAGATTATTCTCTGGGCCACACTCAGCCTGCCTTAGCATTTTCTCAGGTACAGTTCTTACCACTTCCAGGGAACCAAGCACGTGCACCAGGGGTCCCCCAGGTCTCCCCTCAGCCTTCATCCTGAGTTTTTTTGTTCTCCTCCTCACATGCATTTCATTCAGTTGTACTGGTTGTCATTTTTACACGCTGCCCACCTGACTCTCCTACCCACTACTACCATGCTTGGGGAGAAATGGTTTCTGTAGTTGACCAGGAGACGCTTTCATAAAGAGTTAAAGGTACACACTGAGCATTGGAACAGTGGCCTGGATGAACATTGCATTTAGATCCCAGTCCCAATGTCTTCCCACTTGGGGCCAAGTCACTGACATGAAAGGCACTGGTGGGGAGTAGTGCGCACTGTCATGGGCAGCCTCATCACTGGTGCCTTTACCAATACCTGTTTTGTTAAACATTACAAAAGGAAGCCTTGACTCTATGACACCTACTGACTCTGCAAGGTAGGTTTATCATCCCTCTTAGGAAATGAGGCACCAGAGAGCTGAGAGTTTCAATAACTTACCCAAGATCATATGCTTAGTAGGTGCAAGCAGGATTCAAACCTTGCTGGATTAGATTCACTTTCCCCCTGCCTTGCTGCTTTTTCTCCTCAGAACCCAGATCCAGGTGACCCAGGATTGGAACCTAAGCCAGCTTATGTCATAACCATCACACAGAATTATACCCATCTTCAGAGACTCCTAAAGAAAAGCTTATCTATCAGACATAATCCTCATGGAGGATTATCGTGTCCTGTCTAGAGCAGGAAGTGGGCTAGTAGCGGTGGGGGACAGGTTCGGGGAATCCTAGAATCATAGTGTGACTTCATGGAAATGAAGAATGCCCATGGCCTTTCTGTGACCCAAACATGCTCCTTGCTGTCATTCTATGAGCCCCTCCTATGTCCCTGGAGCTGGGCTAAGGACTTTTCTGCATGTTATTGAATGTCCTCTTTATCTCCATCAGCACGTGCCTCCTCAACCCCCCTGACTATCACCATGCTCCTCCAAGAGGTCCAGATAAAAGGCCCTCATGTCCTAAATTTGACCTCTTGGAATGCCCAAGAGAGGTTTTTGTTTTTTTTTTTTTAAAGCAAACAAACAATGATGCTATCGCAAAATGTGTTTCTTTTCTACTATGTGCCAGCTACCATAGGTCAAACAGAGATTCCCCAGCCAGGATCTTGGGGTTGGGAAAGAAACCAACAGATCAGAGCAATTCTGTCTTTTGAGACATCTTTCTTAGTTGCTGTGAACACAGCTACTGGAATTTAGGCAGCAAGGCATGCTGAAACTGAATTTTTCTTTCCTTCCCCTCAAATCATCTTTGATCTGATAACTGATTTGAATTTCTCTTACAGGGAGAAGAAGGCAAAGAGGGTAGAGATGGAAAACCAGGTCCTCCTGGAGAGCCGGTCAGGGACTCTAAATTTCTTATCATTTTGCATGACAAATTCATAGTTTCTTAATAACAACTAATTCTTTGTTAAGGAGTTTCTATGAAACACGTACAATGATGGGCATTTTTTTAATGCATTATTTCATTTATTTCTCCCAACAATCCTGCCGGTAAGCACTGCTATCCCCATTTTAAAGCTGAAAAAACCTGAGTGTCAAGAAAATGAAATGACGGGTCCAAAGTCACAACACAGGCTGGTGACAGAATTGGAATCTGAGTCCAGTTGGGACTCCTGTCCCTCTTTCCACATTTAATGTTACTGCCCCATGAAGTTTCAATCCTATTGATGTGGGAGGGGAAGCTAGGGCGTATTATTCTGGCCTGAAAGAGAAATCTGAAAAGACTAGAATGCCCACTGAAAACCTGAGTGGCACCTGCTAGCTCCAGATATTGTGAGTTTGCCCCCCTTTTATGTTTTAAACTCTGGCATAGAGTTTTTGTTGTCATTGTGTCTTGTTTTTCTTTAATGTCAGCTGTCCAAAGACACACAATGAGATGGACCGAGGATGTCTCTGCAGCCCGATTAGTTGTTAGTTGGAAGCATACAGGGATTTCCAAAGACCCATATCTTTTGACCTTAAACTTGTACTCACTGAGGTTGGTGGATTCTTCTTGCCTGTGGATCAAGAATCCATGATAATGATAATTCTTCAGTTCCTGATAGCTCTTGTATCTTGCCACTACATCGAGAGAAAGGTGAAGGATGGCCTTGATGATTTAAAGACCTAGGTTCTCCAAATGTCCACCTGTAGGAGGCTAGTTAAATTATAAGACATCCACCCAAAAGGATACCCAGAGCTGTTATGAGGCATGAGGATGTTCTCTAGATACTTATGCAAGACTGCTCCTAGATAGATTGTTAAGTGAAAAAGCAAAGGTGTAGGATGGAGTGTATAGTCTTCTCTATTTTGTATAAACATAGGTATGTGTGTATTATTTTAAAGGTTGACATTGAAAAAAATCTCTGGGAGACCCTATAAAACACTAATAAAAGTAGTTTCCATCCATGGGAGGATGATTCTAAGCCAAGCAGATATAGGAATGAGAAAGGAACTTTATATTTCATAGTATATCATTTTGTTCTCTTTATTTTTGGAGTCACGTGTATGCATTATTTATTGACAAAATTAAATTTAAAGTATAGTAATTTTAAAATATATTTCAAAATGATAGTGATGATAATAATAATAATAATAACAATAACAAGCTGTCTTCTGATACCAGCCCTACTTTGTACAGGTTTTGTGACCTGGGCACATCAGAAAGCATCTCTGAGTTTGTGTCTTTTTAAGTAGAATAAGAATAATACACCAACTTGCCAGCGTTGCTGGGGAATCAAATGAGGTGAAAAATTTGTCCAAGGCATCAGGCTTATCTAACGGTTAATTATTTTAGTAAGCTACTTTTCTCAACTGCCCCAGTTTTAACTCCTGGAGAGGTCAGAACTGTGAAGCCTTTAGCGCCCTAAGTGGAATTACATAAAAGTTTCTATAGTGAGGTTTATGTTCCATTTAATTTGTTTGGTCATAAACTATTATGACTCATTCTGGATCTTACGCAACTTGCCGGAAGCACCTTCTTTATCATTTCCAAAGTGTGCCAGATGCTGAAACCAAAAGTCACCACTGAGAGGAAGAGAAAGAGCTTTTAGCAGCTGAGAAAATTGAAAAGCTCCGGATGAGCCGCTGCAGGCTGACATGCAGCAAAACCACCCGTGGTGGACAAATGGCAGTCAGCCTGGAGAGAATGTGGCTAGCGGGGAAGGAGATGCACATACCACACTGTAGCTGACAGCTACTGTGTGTGTCAGGGCACTGAAGCTACCTAGGGCCAGGGCGCTGAGTGCTTTCTTACATTTTCCAGTGGAGTCCCCAGAAGAACCTTATGGGACTTGGGTACCATTACTGTTCCTAAATGAGGAAGCGAAGGCACAGAGAAGCTCAGAGCTTGGCCAAAGTCAGAAAGCTGGGAAATGAAGCATCCAGGACCCATACTCCCAGGGCCTGACCCAGGAATTCAGTGCTGCAGAGCAGATCATCGACCTTTCTGCAGAAGCTGTAATATTCGGAGAGGCTGCCATTTATGGTACAGGATAAGTGAGGACAACTGGTCTTCACTCAGTCTGTATATTGAATGCCTATATCAGACTAGGCCTGTGCCAGGCTCTGGGTGTATGCTGATACGCGACAAACCTATTCTGGGTAAGCAGTGGTCAATGCAGGAGGAGACAGGGCTGGTTCTCCTGGATGAGGCAGGAGGAGACAAGACAAGACAAATCTCACCCAAGAGGCTGCCCTGATCTTATATGTCCATTCCAGAGTTATCTAGTTGTGTCAGTCTTGAATTTCAGAATATATCACTATAAGCAGTTTGGGAGAAAATTGACACAGGAAAAAGGAAAATAAGTAGCATCTGGGATCCTCTAAGATCTTGACACAAGAATTTGGATGCATTTGGGAGGTGATCCCATGAAGCACTAAGGGACTGGGCCAGGGAAAGAAGGAAACTTATGAAAGGCTGTCTGATTAGTGGTGACTCCAGGGGCTGCTGGAACCCAATCTCACTGAGAACCCTCTGATTGCTCCTGGAGGCTTTACACTTGTGCACAGCTCAAAGTCAAGCACCCCCTAAGGTCAGAGAACATCCTCATTCTGAGTACACTCTTCCGCCTATATAGGAACTAACTGTTCTACAAGGGGCAAGTGCCCTCCTGGGTGAGCCCGGAGGTTGCAGTCAGGAAACATCAGCATCTGCTGCAGGTAGTAGGTGGTCTGTCTTCACTTTGACCTCTTTCTTCAAGTTCTTACATCTAAGGGACACGAATGGATAGACAGTGCATAGATGATTGGATGGATGGAGACACAGATAGGTGGGTATAAAAATAAACTTTTGAGTTGTCTCTTAATTTTTTATTAAGGGATATTTGAACATTAATTATAGTGTAGGATGAAGTGCCGAGACTGGAGGCAAAACGTCTGGATTAGAAACCCAGTGGTGTGACCTTGAACAGATGACTTATCCTCTATATGCCTTGGTGTTTTGCGTGAGTGATAACGAGAGTCTGATATTATAGTGTAAAGCACTCAAGTTGCTCCTGGCACATGAAAAAAGTTCAGTAGCTGCTGGTTGTTCCATTTTTCTGCTGGTGCTTTGGTCCAGTGGGACTGTCACAGTTAACTTTGGTGCAGGAACCATGCTGGGCCTATATGCCCTCAATCATAAAGATCTAGGAGGAAGAACTTTCCTGAATTTACAACTGTGCAACAGATCTAGAGAAAGAAAATGACATCCCAAGATTACACAATTAGACTTGTAAGAACTGGGACAGAAGGAAAAACAAACAAACAAACACACCTGAAAATCGGAGCTCTGTAGCCCACCCATCTTCTTTCTCTAAATCTAAGAATGTTCCTTTCTGTCTACCATTCCCCAAACGGGCTCCCATGGTCTTCAAAAAATGAGATGAAAAGAATGTTTAAGAATGGGCATATCCCTCAGTCCAGCTGCTGCCCATTCTGCCCATCAGTCATCATGCCCTTTTATCCATTGTCCTCTGCTCCTTCTTCCTCAACACCACCCTCCAGCCTCTAATCAGTTTATGTGGACCTGAGCCACCAAGTCTTTCACTGGCTTCTATTCCTGGCTTGGTTCTATGCAGGACAATGCCAAGCTGTGGGCAGTAAAGAATTTTAAGTAGCAAGAGTGTCCCCATATGTTCTTTATGTATAAGAAGATGGAGTGGGACAGAAACTGTGTAAGTCTCAGGTCACCTCATTAGTGGGCACAGCAGCCCACCTGGAAAACAGCATCTGCTTGGGTGTGACACTCAACTGGAATTAAGTCTGGCTTTGCTATTTAATACCTTGGTAAATTGAGTTATTTGATCCTCATTGCCACCATTGGTAGAGTGTAAGAATTAATAACTGCCTTGGAGTTTTTTGCAAGTAGGTATAAAGTCATTTATAATTAAGATGGCCATATAATTTCTCATCCCTACCAGAACGTTTCTGGTAGTAAAAAGGGGCACAAAGAATAATTAATTAGGGAATGAAACCTGTGTAATCAGCATCCTCAGGAATATAATATAATAGGCCTGAATAATACATTCAGGAATGTAATAGGCCTGAATACATGGTGGAGATTTGTGTGGTCTAAAGTGGACCAAAATGCTAGCAGAGGGTTAGTGGGGTGGACAGAGACTGGCTTGTGGGAGAACAACAGGAAGTACAGGCAGCCAAGAATAGGAGGAGCCTTATTAGGTTGTCCTCAAACTCTTTTTGTCTTCTTTACTCTCAGGGAAAAGTGGGAGAGCCGGGTCTGCCAGGACCAGAGGGTGCCCGAGGCCTGCCTGTAAGTACACAGCCTGTGTTGTCGATGGTAGAATCAAGCCTATCAACTACACAGCTCTTACCTCCATGAGCAGCGCCAGCCCAGACTGCCTGACTATGGGGTCTCAGAAGCCCCTCTCTTCCAGATGGTGGTACCTCTGTGTAATTGATTCAGCTTTTTCACATGCCATCACTGGAATATTCATTTACAGAATTGTGATTGGTATTACTTTGTTGTTGTTTTAATCCTTCTGATTATAATTTAAGCGAGGTTTCTGTGGATGCTAGAACCCAAAAATGAGTCTTAATTTTAGCATTGAACACTTCATTCCTAAAGGTTTTTTCCCCCTTTTAAAAATTATTTTATTTATTTATTTATTTATCTATCTATTTATGTATTATGAGACAGGGTTTCACTATGCTGCTCAGGTTAATCTCCAACTCCTTGCCTCAAGTGATCCTCCCACCTTGGCTTCCCGAAGTTCTTGGATTATAGGCATGAGATACCACATCTCAGCTTTTTTTTTTTTTTTAATTTGTTGTAGAGACAAGGTCTCACCAAGTTGTCCAGGCTGGTCTCAAACTCGTGGGTTCAGGCAATCCACTTACCTCAGCCTCCCGAAGTGCTGGGAGCCACTGAGCCCTAGCTTTTTTTTTTCAATTATGAAAGTAACCCATTCTCATTGCAAAATACTAATAATGATTGTGGTAATAATAAGAAGAATAAGAAAAAATAATATAGAAAAGAAAATAAACTTACTTATAATTCTACAACACAGAGGTAAAGCTCTGTTAACATTCTAGTGTATTTTTTCTAGTTCTTTTTCCTATATATGAATTCCAATATTCATATATTTATATTTAAATCTATATCTAGCTATTGAGCTGTGATATGTACAAGCATACACAGACACTATTTTTCTATAAAAATGAACTCTATGTACTTTAGAGTTTTTTAGTGGTTTTTGCTAAATGTTTTACTTATTCTTTTTTTTTTTTTTTTGAGTTGGCGTCTCATTCTTGTCACCCAGGCTGGAGTGCAGTGGCACGTTCATGGCCACTGCAGTCTCAATCTGCTGGGTTTAGACAATCCTTCCGTCTCAGCCTTTCAAGTAGCTAGAACTACAGATGCATGCTTCCAGGCCCGGCTAATTTTTTTTGTGACTTATTGCAGAGATGAGGTCTCACCAAGTTGCCCAGGCTGGTTTTGAACCCCCGGGCTCAGGCAACCGCTCACTTTGACCTCCCAAAGTGCTGGGATTACAGACTGAGGCACCGCACCCAGCCTTACCTATTCTTAATATTAAAATTATTTGCACAATTTCTTAAATTGTTTTTGGAAAAATAGATTTTTAATAAAAATGCTAAAGTTATCTGACAAGAAGTAGAGATCACAATGCTAGTTCTAGTTCTGTAATGATGCTTTTCTTTAAAAAAATTCAGTAAATATTCTGGCTAGTATTCAATAAGAAGAAAATAAAACACAAAAATCCATTTTCCTTTTTTCCTAAATCCCCTTGTTTTTCACATGATTATACCAGAAGAAAGCATAGAATAAGGAATACTACCTTGTATGGGGATTATAATATTGAACTAGTGGTCAGTTTTTTTTAATGGTGACTCCTTGCTGATTGGAGAGAAAGGGGCTTCCCTTCAGTCAGAGAGACCCATGGGACCTGCCTTGAGGACAAGACCCATCTCTCAACTGAGAGTTTCAAGGAAGGAACTGAGGTTAGAGACCCAGGCAGTAAAGGGAAGTGAAGGGAGACCCAATTTTTCTAGATAGTGTCATATGAGCCAGAGCAAAGTTTTGAAGAATGGCGTGGGCTTTGAGATAGACAAACCTGGGTTCAATCTTTACTTTGTCATTTACAGACTTTGGTCACAAGTGGGACCTTTCTGAACATCTGTTTCTTTTTCTATGGAATGGAAGTTATAATTGTTTCCACTCCTGCAGGGTGGTTGTGAGACCTAGGAAGAAGGTAAAACATAACATTCCCAGCCAAGTGCCTGGCACGTTGTATGTGGATCCCTCAGTTGGTGCTTTTGTCATGAGTATATGAGAGAACACTCTAGAGTCCCTGCCCCTGGGCTAGCTAGATTTGGTATTCTGGGGTCCTTGAGGAGGATGCCAGGCCCCAGGTAGTCCCCAGGCCCCTCTGAGGAAATGTAAATGGCCTGTTTTGAACGGCTCGAGAGAAAATTGGTCCATTCTTGTTCAGTCCTGACAGCAACTCTGCAGTAGTAAGTTCCGTACTAATTTTACAGATGTGGAAACTGAGTCCCAGGGAAGAGAAGTAAAGCTCTAAGATTCCGCAGCTAGAAAGTGGAAGCCAGGCTCAATTCTAGACCTGACTCCAAAGCCAGACCATTTCTGTAAAATTTAGGAGTATATGACACCACTTTCTATAGATAATACCAAAAGCTATGCTAGGTTGGCATTTTTATTATCCTCAATTTATAGATGGTGATGTTAGGACTGCGAAGGTGAAGTGACTTTTTGATGGTTATAGCGGTTGCACCTGGATCTAAATCAGAGACTTTCTCCTTCCCTTCCTCCTCCTCCTCCTCTGTCTTCTTTTCTTCTTCCTCCATTTCCTCATTAGTCACCCACATGTCGCGACAGCTCAACATCTCATTTCATCCTCACCACAACCTGGCAGAGCAGGGATCGTTTTCCTTAGTTATAAGCACCAAGGCTCATAGAGGAGATAAGAAATGCAGAAAGTCACTCAGCTCATGGCTTGACCCAAGCTCCTGACCTGCTGCCGATGTCCTAGAACCTCCATATTCTACCTGCTGCTCTCAAAATGACCTGAAGAGCACCCCCTAGAGGCCAGGCAAAGTCACACTATGAGCCATATTGGGAGGAGCCACATGCCCAAACAACACATTTCCAGGTAACAACCACTAGACATCAAAGTGGCCTCTTTGGTTGAGTTCTCTCAAATAGCCTGGCCCTAGGGCTTTACTCTCTCCAGTAAGTTCTTCATTTGCTTTTTGAGATCAGGAGATTAGGAGATCAGGAGATCAGAAGATAAGGCCTGGGTGAAAACTGGTCTTGTTTCCAGGGGTCTATTTGGTCATAAACTGTTGCCTTCATAGTGAGAGGATGATAGTGGAAAGGAAGATGGGCTTTGCAGTCAGGCCTGTGTTTGAGATGCAGCTCTGCCATTCATTATCTGTGTGATAGGTGGGCCTGAGCTTCTAGTTTCTTTAAAAAACAAAACTCATCTTACAGGACTTTACTACACTGAAATGAGAGCATATGTAATGAATGTAGCACATGCATGGTAGGGCTCTACAGATGGTATTTTCCTCTCTTTTTTACTCCATAATTACACCTTCTTCCTTCCCTCTTTCTCCTCCTCCTCTCCCTTTCACTTCTTCTCTCTTTCCTCTTCTTCCCTACAGTGAGTGAGGAGTTAGGGCAGGAACTCACTGAGGTCTCTTCTTAACTACTCCTGAGCAGGGGACAATTTCCCACATGCACTATGGTTCCTGTCTGTGGGGGTAATGCTAGACAAGTGAAATTAAGTTCAAGACCCTTGCTCCAGGTGCTTATCAGACTCTCTGACAGGTGTGTGCAGGCAAGTTCAAGTTGTCCAAGTTCATCCCAGGCAATGTGTACTGAGACCCAGCTCACTCTGTGCTAGCCACTGACTGGAGAATAGCTGTGTAGGGGGCACAAAAGCAGGAGACTTGGAGTAGGACTCTGGCAATGGTGGTACCTGAGATGACACCAAATAACAAAGATGCAAGGAAGGTGTTAGAGAGTGACGGTCGGAGGAGTGATTGATGGTGGAGCCCATAACCAGAACCAGTTGATAGGAAGGGTTGGAACCAGGAGAAATTTATCAGATGGGCAAGCGGCATGCTGGAAGAGGGAACAACATGTGCAAAGGCCTGGACGTGTAACAGTGTGATCTGCTATCAGAACCACACACAGCTGACTGTGCAGTTTGGAAAGGACACAAGTGAAAAGGTAGACAGGGGTTTCCCAGGGAAGATTTTACCAAGGAAGTCTCTGCAGGTGGGAAAAACTTTGTGATTCTAGGGCTGGGGAGATACTGTTCGAACAGTCAGGACAGAAACCGGGCATAGACTTCGGGAAGCTTTGGAAAACGAGAGGGCCCTGGATCTGGACAGACCCACATGGGTCCACATCTCATTACATCCTAGCGCTGGGGATTTGGGCAGGCACTTTCCCTTTCTAAGACTCAGTGTGCCCATCTGTGAAGTAGGGATTATGACATAATCCCTGGTGAGTAGACATGATGGCCTCAACTCTGCTAACACTTTAATCTTCATTCCCAGGGCCTGAAGTGCTATAATGTAGCTTCAGATAATTTACCTTCAGGTTGCTATTCTGAGCCAGAAGAGCCCAGCACTATAGCCCAGAGCTGGGTGCTGGGTAGGACCGGTGATGGCCACAGTAATAAGGAAGGGACCTGGGACCTAACCCTGGGTAGAGATAATATTGTCTTCAAGGAAACCATCTGACTTGGGAGTGGGGCAGAGAAGGGTGGTCCAAGCCAATTGATGTGAGACTGGGAAGATTGGGAGAAGCAGGAGTTTGGGAGACACCTGAGCCATGCCCCAACACTCTGAGGCATGTGTAAGATGAGCCCCAGAAGCCCTGCCCATAGCACAAAGGGAGCCTGGAGGAAGCACTCTTCATGTCGAGCTATCAAGTGTCTGGCACCAAGCCTGGCACAGGGTAGGGCTCAGGACACTCTGGCTGGTAGCAGATGAGGGGAAGCAGGCTTAGCCAAAGTAGGTGGGGTAGGACACAACTAAACTATCACGTCAGGTACCTGACTGTTCCAGCCTCCTCAGCCTGCTTTGTCGGTGAATAACTGCATTCATTTTCATCTAGGGTTTCAAGGGACACACTGGCGATTCTGGTGCACCTGGTCCCCGGGTAAGTGGATGTCTCACTTTGGAAGTCATTCAGGTGACACAAAGCTGACTCTTCTTAGACAGAGGATTCCTGTAGCTTTCAGGCCAGGGCAACATCTTATCAGAGAAAGGGCAGTGGGCACTATTGACAACAATATTTCCTCTCTGGGTTTGATGCTTCTGGGTGGTTCTTCTGGAGTCCAAACGTTGATGTACAACCAATCAGTTTAGCCGATTCACCCTGGAATGAGGTGTGGTTTTCATCCTCTGGGCCATGCATATTGACTCTGAGCCCTGTGAGGCAAATGTTGTTATTGGACTTGTTTTGTAGAGAAGGAAACTGAGGCCTAGAGGAGATGGGCAATTTTCTCAAGGCCCCAGAGCGTATATTAAAAATATCAGCTTTATCCCAGATGAAATGACATTGGAGTGAAGTGGTATGACTATGTCTCACCACAGCCTTGACCTCCTGGGCTTAGGCGATCCTTTTGCCTCAGCCTCCTGAGCAGCTGAGACTACAGATGCTCCCCACCGTGTCTGGCTAATATTTTTTATTTTGTGTAGAGGTGAGGTCTTGTTATGTTGCCCAGGCTAGTCTTGAACTCCTCTTGGTCTTAAGCATTCCTCCCTCCTCAGCCTGCCGAAATGCTGGGATTATAGACATGAGTCACCACATCCAGTCTGGAGCCTATTTTCTTATCCTTTAGCTACTTCTGCCTTCTCCGAATGCCCAAAATGGAAATGAACTCAGGGGTCATCTGTTTAGATCCTTTGCATGTACTGGATAACAAGATGAAAGCCGAGGTGTAGGAAAGTTCAAATGGGTCAGCAGATAAGGAGGCAGAATTCCAAGTGGGACTGCCAGATTCTTCAGCTGCTGCTCTTACCAGCCTGCACAGTGCTGAGAGGAGCAGCGTGGCCCCAGGCTCTTGCAGCTGGCCGTGGGTATACTGCAGTCCCCATCTCAGGGCCAGGACTCTGTGTACAGAGGCTGACAGTCCCCTTGGGTCTCTCCATCTTTCTCAGATGCTCAGATGCACTTGTGGTTGAAGCATCTTCTTTCCCTAACACCAGGCCTTTTTGTTTCTAGGGAGATCCTGGTGCTATGGGGCCCCCTGGCCGGGAAGGCTTGCCAGGAAAAGATGTAAGTAGCAGCCCTATGGGGCCTGGCTGGACCAGGTGGGGATGGGGATATCAAGTAAGTGACACCCAGAAACTGTACCACAGTGTTTGTGGCAGCACTGCTAAGAGGTACACACAGATGCCACTGATCAGTTGGTGTGGATGAGATTGGAGTTTCCAGTTTAGTGGGTTGGTGCCTGGGTCTTGTGGTTAATAAGGAGACTTTTCTCGATCAATCGTGATTTGTTTGTCTTTGGTACCAATGATGGTCTTAAAGTGGACTTGAGAGGCATTTTAGAATTTCTCCCGCATTGTCACCATCTCCCTGGCTCTTTAGTACTTGTAAAAACCATGCACCCATCGTGGCCATCACTGCCATGTGCTGTGTTACACTTTATGTTGCTCAAACAGCTCTCACACTATTATTTGGTCTTGGGATCTGGATAGAACTAGGAAAATTTCTACCCGATTATATAAATGAAAAATCTGAGATTCAGAAAGGTTAAGAAACTTGTAGTGACATACACAGAGTTAGGGGCAGGAGGGGCCAGCCTGGAGCCCAGGATCAGCCAACTCTGCAAACCCCTGGAGGACCAGCCATCCACAAGTGGTATCCTGTGGGGAAATTCAACACACAGATGCAGCTTGGCCTCCCTGGAATGGGTGCTTGGCCAGAAGGATAGACACCAGGTCCTGAGGTTCAAAGTGGTATCATGCCTGCTCTGTGAGTCCCTTAGGACCTGTGTTTAAACTGTGAGAAAGTGGACCCTTCTCCATTGGCTCCTGATACACAAAATCACATGGATTTTTTGACTGGTCTGCTAGGAGAAAGCCAACCTGGTGTACATGATTTTTTAGCATTGAAATCTGTTCTACAAAATCAACATGTGTCGAGCCCCATGCACTCAGCTAAAAGTAGAGTCCACTCCTGCCTCACCCCGAAGGGGGCCTCTCAGAAGGTGAAGGGCAGTTGAGAATCCTGGCATAGCCAGTCCCATCCAAAGCCCCCAGTGATTTCTAGGAAAGGCAAATAAGGTGCTACCCAGGCAGAAATGTGGCTGAGGTCAGCTCACCCAGCACATCACTGGGACAGGAGCCTGGGATGCCAGAGGATGGAGAATGCTTTCTTCCCTGCATCTCAACTGTCTGACTCTTTTATTTGAAAGAGCCATTGTCTAGATGGTTGGACAGTCTGCTTTGTGTGGTAGCATGTCCAAGTTTCTGTTTATTCATCCATAACATGATTAGGATTATGTCCCTGTGGACCCCAGTAGAGTATGTCTAAATAAACAAGTAGATCGACAGATGCACAAATGTGGACTTTAATGCATTTATTCATCCACAGGAAATGAGTTTGTCCAGATTTGTAACAACAGGTGATTAATGATGAAAAGTTTTGACAACAGTTTGTTGAATCTCTTGGATAACTTGGTGTGGTTCACATTTGAGGCTATGCCCCCATCATCTTCATGAAGTAACGGTGATAACAGGACCTCTCTCCATTTGTTCCAGGGGGATACTGGACCCACAGGGCCACCGGGCCCCCAAGGACTGAGGGGACCACCGGTGAGTTTTGCATTGTGACTAAAGTGCTCCGTGTCTTCAAAGGGCCTGTTAATGCAATGATATTTGGTTGATTCTTTCTGGTGCAACCATATGTGTTATCAAAAATGGCAGTATGTCATTTGGTAAATAGCTGCCCTAAGTCCCCCTAGTACTCTTCCCCACATGCTCAGGTTATATTCTGGAACCACTCACTCACAATACAAACATTTAAAAGGTGCCACTTGGCACAGAAGGGGTCCTATAGCATCTCACCCTGAGGCCCTGCTCTAGCTTTGGGTCATCCTAAGGGTTGGTACATGCTCTGTGTATTAGTTTCTCGGAGCTGCTATAACAAAGTATCACTAATGGAATGGCTTAAACCACAGAAACATATTGTGTCATGATTCTGGTGACCAGAAATCTGAGACTAGGATCAACAGGGTTGGGTTCCTCTGAGGCTGTGACAGGATCAGTCCCAGGCCTCTCCCCAGCTCCTGGGGTTTGCTAGCAATCTGTGACCGTCCTTGGCTTATAGAAGTACCACTCTGATCTTTGCCTTCATCTTCCCATGACTTTCTCCCTGTGTGCATGTCTGTCTCCCAAGTTCCCCTTTTACGAGGACACCAGTCCTTCCTGGTGCAGCATGACCTCAGTTGAACTAATTGCTTCTGCAACTACCCAGTTTCCAAATAAGGTCACATTCTGAGGTTCTGGGCATTAGAAACTCAACGTACTCAACATATAGATTTTAGCAGTTTAACTCATAACTCTGCCTGTGGTTGATATGTATTTTGGATGTTACTCCTGCTTGTTTGTGCACCTAGGAAAATCCTTCTTTTATCTGAGAGCAGCCTGAGAAGGTATGGGAGAAGAAGATAGAAAATAGATATTTAGGTGCTTAAACTCTGTGTATGGAGAAAAGCATTCATCACCCCTTTAAACCCAGGGACCATCTTAGGGAAGTTGTGTTAATATATATGTATATATATATATATGTATCAGTCTATCTATCTGTTGTCATAAAAGTGATCCAGGCTAATTGTAAAGGAAATCATACAGGGTTGCATATTACATATAAAGTAACAAGAAAAAATTACCTCTTTGCCTTCACTCCAATCCCACACTCCAGAGGGAGTCACTTAATTAAAAGCATTTTTTTGTATCTTCTAAAATATTTTCAGTACACCTACAACCATATAGAATACATAATTTTTGCACAGCACTAAATCTTTTGCAACTTGCTTATTTTGTATAGATTATATGTGTGTGTGTATTTTGAATGAGTAATGGAATAAACAAATGAGTACATAAACCTGAGATAGATATACTGGCTTGAGCTTTAGGTGGGTTTAAACCTAAGCATTCTTGAGTTCTCCACCCTACCATGGACCTGCATGTGCTGCGTCTTCTGGATTCTAGAGATGGAGTGTGTGGCAGATCATATGCATTTGGATGTCACATCTCTTCAGACCTCACCAAGTGGAGCCTGAACCAAAGCCCAGGGTCCCCGGAATGTGCACTCCTAAAGGGATTATATCAGCACCAAGGGGACAAGCATTGGTTTTGGGGGTATTATAAGTTATTATTGTTTATGTGCTATGTTTACTGTTTATGTATCAAACACAGGTATGCATATGGTACACACACACACACGCACACACACATTAGCTGTGTTATTAACATTTCATATGGAGTGATTAAGAAAAAATGTCTAAAAGGGCAACTGAGGAGAGAGGGATATTAACAAAGATGTTATTATCTTGCTCCAGAGCCCCCAGGTGTGGCGTGACCCATGATCAGGGTCCCTCCTTCTCCTTCGCTGGGCTTCTGCATCCAATTCTGGGGTTAAGCCATCTGGGCTTGATTTCTGGCTCTTCTGTATTTATCATGTGGACTGTGTCAGTTTCTTCACTACTCCTAGGCCTCAGTTTTCTCATATGTAAAATGGAGGCAGAGGAGTTGAAAGAATCTAGCAAGTTAATCCAATGAAGTGATGAAACGGTGCATGGCCTTTGGACTGTGCCCCAGGCCATCTACATTCCTGGAGGTAGGAGGGGCTTTAGCTCTGCCTGCCTCTCTGGCCTGTTGGCACAGACAGAGCAGCACTCAGATCCTTGATAAGTACAAATGCATTCAAAGGTACAGAAGAGCCGGGCGCATTGGTGCACGCTCGTAATCCCAGCACTTTGGGAAGTGGTGATGAGAGGATTGTCTGAGTCCAGGAGTTCAAGACTAACCTGGGCATCTTTGCAAGACCTCGGCTCTACAATAAATAAAAAAAAATTAGCCAGGCATGGTGGTGTGTGCCTGTAGTTCCAGCTACTTGGAAGGCTGAGGTGGAAGGATCACCTGAGCCTCGTGGGTCAAGGCTGTGGTGGCTATGAGTGTGCCACTGAACTCCAGCCTGGGTAATAGAGTGAGTCTCTGACTCACGCCCCCCCCCAAAAAAGCAAAAGCAAACAAGCAAACAAAAACTCCCAAAGGTACAGAAGAAGGAAAGGGAAATGACATTGGGAAGCAGTGAATACCCCAGGGCAGATACGAGAGATGGAGGAATGCAGCTGGCCCAAGTGAGGCTATGAAGGGCTACCTGCAGTAGTGGGGACAGGTGTTGAGGCTGACGGCAGGGGATCTCCAAAGGCAACTATGTGGTTCTAATGTGATCTCCTCCTTCCTGAAGGACATTGTAAATAATTTGTTTCCAACAATAAGCTATTAACATTTGCTAAATACGTATATATTTTAACACATTAGTGCAGTTTCCAGATTATTCTCTGACAACCTCATTCTTACTCACCTGGAATTGGTGTGTTCTCCTGAGTGAGGGAAAGGTTCCTGGCAAACCCAGCAGGTTCATGCAACCTTGAACTAGACCTGAATATTTATGGAGTGTCTCCATGAATAGCTGTGGTGATTTTGAATGTCTGTATAACCTAAAAACGTTCATTTTGCTTTCTTTAAAATCTACAGTTACACAGGGGATAAGAATAGGACCACGGTGACCACCTTATAACCACTAGCCTCCAACAAATCATGGCAGATTTTATCACTGGGACTACAGGAAGCATTTACATGATTCATTCATTGAGTTCTCCCCAAACCTTATGCCACTGCTGTCCCCATTCACAGATGAGAAATGAAGGCACAGGGAAGTCTAGTAACTTGCCCCAGATTGCACACACTGCTGTGTGCAGAGCCAGGATTTGGAGTCTGGCATCTCATTCAAGAGACTTCAGCTCAGGCACCTACCCTGGTCCTGTATGTGCTAGATTCCTTGTCAGAAAGATCATCCCAGAAAGAATGGGTTTGGAACAGGAGTTCAGATCTCAGAACAGTTGGAAAGGGAAGCTGTGGCCTCATATGGGACTCTGTGGGGAAGAGTGGGACACAAGGAATGGCTCTGTGGTCCAGGAAGGGGTCCCAGGTCCTATAGACTTCAAGTGCACAAAGTACAGATGGTCGCCCAGAGCTTCTGTTCATGTCGGCCTGTGTTGGCACCCTGTGCTACTGTGTCTTGGCCGTTATCTTCCCTGCAAAGGGAAGATCAGAGGAAGAAGGAGAAGCAATATAATTTCCATAGGGATGAGGCAAAGCACATATTTTTAGAGGGACACAGATGGGTTAGTGGGCGGAGGAAGATGCAGGGAGGAGCGTCATGCTGCATCCGCAGAAGGGCCGGGCACGGGTAAGCAGTGGACCCATGCCGGCCTGCTCCTTTGATTTCAACCCGTCCTAGCTCAGCAATCCCAGGCAGATGCTGCGCTAGCTCTGTACCTCAGTTTCCTCATCTGTGTTATAGGGATAAAGGTATTTATGCTATGTGATTACCAGCAGAATCCAGTGAGATAGCTTCACCCATGATTACATATGCACTCTTTAGACGCAAAGCAGAAGCTGTATTTATGATCACTGATCCACAAGGCATGGCATGTCTTTGATGAGCAGTGTTAGATCAGGGCTACCTCAGTTTATATCTTAGTTCCTCCAAATCCCCCTTAGGTAGATTGCTTAGTCTTTCTGGGCCTTATTTTCCCCCATTGGTAAAAGAGTGATGATGTTTGTGTCTGATGTGAACAGTGATTTTAGGTATGGGAAGCCCCTGGAAGAGGGGTCTGTTTGTATGGACAGCATCAGCTACTGATTACTAGAATATGCTTCCATGAAGCCAACACATTTGTGAGTACATGCTTTGTGGATTACAGGGCATCAGCACCTTTCAGTTAGATGATTGACAGAAAGTGGTTCTCCACAACTTTCTTGGTTCATTATTTAGCAGAGAGCCTCCTGTGTGTCTGGAGATATCAAGAATGATGAGGCACTGAGTCTGCCTTTGGGTTACTCATGACAGAGAAAAGAATCAAGTAAAGACATGGCAACCAGTGGGAACACGTCCTGAGAGAGGACAACATAGTGGGAAGAGAAAGTAGCCAACATAGCCTGAGGAACTTAAGCTGTAACATTTAGGCTTACTAAGAATTTGTCTGATCCTGAAAAGGGGTAGCTAGGAAGGTTCTTGAAACTTCTGAGTTTTACTCCACTGGAATCTTATAGGTTAAATGTATTTGCCAAATGTAGGAATGTGCACAAAACATCTATCAAGCTAGAGAATGTTAAAATTGCAAGAGTCAGTTTTAGAATCTGAAGTGAATGGATCTTCCATTTTGTACCTGTATGACCCTGTTTTCCTTCTCTGTGCCTCAGCATTTATACCTTTTAAATGGGAATATGGTGATCTCCCTAGTGTTGGAGTAAAAAGAGAGAAACACGTGGACATGCTTCTGAGCTAAGAATAGTACTGTGAGAGTATGAACAATTATTTGTAATTTGGGTTGTATTAGATGGTTTATTTGTTCCCTAACAAATCATCCGAGTTGAAAGGTGGATGGATGGATGAATGTATGTGGTCATGATTATTTACTGTTCCTCTGCCATGAGCACTAATCACTGGGCTAGGCTTTTTCATGCCCACAAGCTCATTTAACTCTGCAAAAATATTATGAATTATATATTAGGGGCTCTTTTTTACAAGTTGAGAAACACCCTCTGAGTAATGAAGTGGTTGACTAAGAGCCACACTGGCTGGAATAACTGATTCTGTGTGAAGTCAAGTCCTCCATATTCAGCCATCTCTTTGTTTCACAGCTCTGTGATGTCCTGGCAGGATGATTCTTTCTGTTTTTGTTTTTGTTTTTCACCAGGGTAAGAATGGATCACCGGGATCTTCAGGAGACCCTGGCCCTCCAGGAAGCCCAGTGAGTACTCTTTGGCTGCTGTGGGATGGCGTCGGGACCAGCTTTCAAAGGGCTTATGGTTCACATCACAAACTGTCCAATCTCTGTCCCTGGAAATGACAGTGGAGAAGTATGGGTGTGAATGGCCAACACAGGCTGGAGGCAGAAGGATCCAGAAAGAATGTTTTTCAAAGCTTAAAATGCACTTGGTTCTCTGTTGGCTACAACCATGAGCACTCAAAACTATTAAACTCTAAAAAAAATGTATAATAAGGCTGTAGGTAGGTGTTTGAGGTTTCTAGAGGATGGAAGGAGAGGGGCAGACCAAGCAACTCTTGCCATCTCAGATGGAAAGGAAAGTGTGCAGCTGGGCAATGCAGGTGAGGGAGGATAAGGAATGGGAGACCAGAAGGATCAATGGGTAGGAGGAAGAGAGAAGGGTGCATGACATATGAATTAGCAGAGTCCTGATCATTGGACAATGGATAAATCCTGGTACATGGAGAGACATGCTGGAAAAGATACTTCTTTGATGGGTTCTAGGGTTGGATAAATCAAAGCCTGCTCACTCTCCTTCCAGCCTAGCCTTCTTGTATTTTTATTTGCTAACATTTGGAAGCTGATTCAGAAGGCCACCTCCAAGGTGTGGTGAGTCAAGTATCAATTGTACTAAGCACTCATCAGCTATCTGTGCCACTGTGAAAATTAGGGTGCATTCTGGGTTGCTGGGAACTTTTGCAGCTCGAAAATCTTGCATCCTGGAAACCCACCAGTTCCAGATAAACTTGGCATTTGGTCACCCTAATGGAGACCATCCTCCTGTTGGACCAGGGACAGCTGTGCAAAAGAAATCTGATCCCCTAGCAAACCTGATGACCTTCTTCTGGAGCTGTGGTGAGGGACAAGGCACTGCTAGTGAGACAGAGGAGACAGGGTGGGATTGGGTCATGAGGCAAGACCCACCATCTTCCTCCAGTGCAAAATTAGTCTCAGAAGAGCTGATCCATGCATGTGGCTTTCCAGAAAGGCTTAAGCTAAAGGAGTCCTGAAGTCCTTTCCCAAAGAGTGATCCTACCAAGTGAGCTTGGATAGCCTCGTGGGAAGAAGTAGACCATCTTCTTATATGGTTTCTTGGAGGGGTCACACACACATCCTGGAGTCTTTGTTAAATATCCATTCCAGTTTATTTTTGTTGCTTTAAATGGAAAGACCATTGACTGTTTACATGGATACTTCTTATCTTTCTCCCCTGCCCCATGACAATACTATTGGGAGTCCCAAGATCCTGTGTCTCTTTCTAACCCATTCCCCTCCATTATGCAAGGACTCTTGTCTTATTTTGTGGATGTCTCAGGCCTTTGGCATATAGAGTAGTCATAAGGTTTCTGAATCTGCTTAAATTGGCATGTGACCTTGAAGAATTAATTCCCCATTTCCCTTTGCAGGGCCAGAAAGGAAATAAAGGAGAAAATGGCAGCCCAGGACTTCCTGGCTTCCTGGGTCCCCGTGGGCCTCCGGTAAGCATAGAACCTTGATGAGAGCCAGAATACCTGACTCCCGGTGTGATCTTCCCATTCAATATCTTCCCTACCAGCTGCTGTGTCCTCTGATCCATCTGCTCAGGCTATGATGGTCTGGTATGAGATAATAGTTGCATCTTGATTTAGGAAAGGGTGGAGTGCTCAGAGATCACACCTGTGTGGTACTGTCATCCCCATGACTCCCTAAATTGTGAGAGCTTAGGAAAGACTCCATAACCTCTCTGCTGTATTTGTCTTATTATTCAAATGGAGATAATAATGGCATCTACTTCTGAGGATTAAATGAGATAATCTACGTAAAGAAATTAACAGTGGTTCCTGACGCAATGCAGATGCTCCATAAATATATAAGCAGGTGTAGACTGGGCACAATGGCTCATAGCTGTAATCCCAGCACTTTGGGAGGCTGAAGTGGGAGGATTGCTTGAGCCCAGGAGTTCAAGAACAGCCTAGGCAACATAATGAGACCTCATATCTACAAAATATGAAAAAATTAGCTGGGTGTGGTGGCATACACCTGTACTCCTAGCTGCTTAGGAGGCTGAGACAGAAGGATTGTCTGAGCTCAGGAAATTGAGGCTGCAATGAGTGGTGATCATGCCACTGCACTCTAGCCTAGGCAACAGAGTGAGACCTGGACTCAAAAAAATAATAATAGTTAAAAAAAAACAGTTGTGGTGATGTTTGTGGTAGGCCAGTGGTAGAGATCATGATCCTAGAACCTGAAGGACATATAGGAAGCATTTAAAAAATGAATAAGCAGAGTGTGTAGGGTCAGAATAGGTAAGTACTTTATTCGAGACCACATGGTAAGTTTGTGCTCTTGCTGGCTCTGGAGGTAAGGTCTCCTACTTTGACAGTTTGATGCAGAGGGAAGCTGTAAAGTGATTTACAGACAGAGGGATGCTGAGAGATTCTCACATTTCCAAACCTAGCCCCCTGCCCTCTTCTGCATGCCCTGGTATACACCTTGGACTGTTGACCTGATGCATGGGGGTTGAATGTAACATGCAGGAGTAGATAGCTTATCCTGCCGTCCCCCTCCAGTTTAACTCTGACCCCTCTGGGTTCCCCATTGCCATCCAAGCCCAGCCTGCTTGAGGTGGTAACCCCTCACGCTTTTTTACCATGCTGCCCCTACCCTGCATAGGGTTTTTTTACTTGAGCCTTTTCATTCAGTTGCTTCACTGTCAAAGGCCAAATCCTCCTTTCCAGCCCCTTTTTAATAATCTGGCTGCCCCTGAGCAACCAAGTTCCCGATCCTCTTAACACATTGCAGCAATTATTACTGAGTCATGGTAACAGGGGGTCCCTTGTCCAGCCCCTCCCCCTCCTCCTGCTACTGCTTTGAGTGCCTTACAAGAACTAACACATTGAAATCTCATGCTAACTCCATGAGGCAGTTACCATTTCCATTTTACTCATGAGAAAACTGAGGCACAGGCACAGAGAACTTAAGGAGGTTGTCCAAGGTCACAGAGCCAATAAGCGGAGAAGAAACTTTTGGACCTGAAGTCCAGTACCTAACTGGTAACTTGTTTCACACACCATAAGTCTGCTTCTCAGAGAGGCCTCTTGACCACAGCTGGACAATTTGTAAAACTGATATTCTCGAGTTCCTTCTGGTGGAGTGACACCTATTCTGTTGACACTGATTCCTGAATCTCCTGCTGAATCTCAGGCTCCATCCCACCCTGGATCAATGTGTTGCCTTCTCCAGGATTGGCTGGCCAGAGAACTTTGTCTGGGACATCCTTGGTCAGGTGGACCATCAGTTGCTGTTGTTGCTGGAACATGACTTGAGTGAAAATGTCTGTTTGGAAGATAATCATGTTACTTGCATTGGGCTAATGCTACAAAGCCAACTGATGTTCTTTTTTGTTTCACAGGGAGAACCAGGAGAGAAAGGGGTCCCAGGAAAGGAGGCGAGTATCACACCTCTGCTCACCCCTTGGCAACCCTTTCCTATGGGCAGGTGGCCCGTGTAGTAGGATACCACAGTCGCTTTAATGGTCTACCCCCACTGTCTTGGAATCCCTAATGCTTTTTGAACAAGTGATCCATGTTTTAATATTGCATGGAGCCCCACAAATGATGCAGCCTATCTTGATATGCCTGTTTCACTTGTCTGTCCTTAAGCATGCAAGCCATCAACAAGTCCTGTTAACTCTGACTTCAGAAAACCTCTTGATTCTGTCAAGTTCTCTTTATCTCTATCACTGGCACTCTAATGCAATCTGTCATCTGCTCTCACCTGGACCACTGCAGTGACCTCCTTCTGTTCAGCTTTGCCCCTCTTCAGCTGTCAGCCCAGCAGCCAGAGGGGCTTCAGAGCATAAACAGATCATGACACTTTGCAAAGCAAACCACAGCTCCTCCATCCCCTTGCACTCTCGATGGAATAGAGGCTGCACCAGCCTTGCCCACTCCCCTTCTTCTCTAAGCTCTAGTCACTCTGGCCTTTTAGCTCCTGAGACATGCCAAGTTCTTTCTCAAGGATCCCCTTTTCAGAAAGCCCATACCACCCCTCCTGTGCCCCTCCTCATGCCTGGTCCTAACCATCCTGAAGTCTCTGCTAAAATGTAACCTTTGCCAACTTTCATTGACCACCAAAATGAAGCAGACCCCCATAATGCTCTGTCTTAGCCCTGTGCTCTGTTCTGCCATAGTCCAGGAGACTGGCGCAGAATAGATACCAAAAATAAGTAATGAAAGATAAATAGAAGAATAAATGCAGAGAAAGCAGGTCTTTGGAAATCAGCCTATCAATTTCAAAGCCTGCACTTTTGGATGAGGAAGACTCATTTCACTCTGAGTCTTTGGGTTGCCTTCTTACTAGAGTGGAGAGGGTCTCTACCTTGAAACTGGATCCAATGGCTCCATAACTGTGAGGGCTTCATCCCAGTCATAGTTTTTCACTCACTAGGCATATCACTTAACTCATCCATCAGTCACTGCTTCCTGGATTGAGAAGGAGAGATATCCCCAATTCCCATTTCCTGGGGCTACATCAGCTCCACATGCTTGGATTTGGACTTCCGGCCATACCATTTCTCTCTACCCCCCTCCCTCATTGCCTTTCAGAATAAAGTCCAGGCTAAGCAGGCATCCCAGGTCTTCCCTGAACTGACCTTGTTCTTCCTTTAGAATGGGAGCTCTTGCCTTCTGCTTTCCCATGCATGATGTGTTCCCACCTTCTTGTCTCCAAGGCTTGTTCTTCACTCTTATACCCACATAAAGTGCCTTTCCCTACCTCCTCTCCCTGTTAGATTTCATTTAACCTTCATGGCTTCATGCTTCCCAACACACAAAATCATGTTCTTTTCTCTTAGCTACTGAGGTCCCTTTTGGTACTTGTATTTCAGAAACCAAATCAGTCTTCCTTGAATTAGAATCAGTCATGCCCACAACCTCCTCTCAACCAGTCTGAAAGCTCCATGTGAGCACAGTGGGAAGAGTGAAATTCAATTCAGAAGTGAATGAACTCAGGCCCTGCCTTCTAAATGCTTGTAGTCTACAGGGGAAGGTAGATGGACACACTGTGGTTATCATATCTGGAGAGAAAGGAAGGAAGGTATCAGCTTATAAGGAAGTAACCCATGCTTGAGGACAGACACTAGCCAGAGAGATTTGCCAAAGCTTGCAGAGGAGGTGGCAGAGGGAGTAGGAAAAAAGAGAAAGGAAAGAGACATTCCAGGTGGAGAGAATGACAGAAGCTGAGGCTGGGAGGGAGGGAGGTATCTCAGGAGTAGAGACTGCGGAGCTGTGTCCCTCATTCCCTGATGTGATTTCCCTCCAGTAGGTTGTGGGAACACAGAAGAGGGCTGCTTCTCTAAGTGTTGGGTGGTCAGCAAGGGCTTCCTGGAGAGGAGGCCTGAAGGCAGGGTGGGAATCTTGATTATTTAAACTGTGAGGTGAGAGATGCTACCTGCACAGGGAAAATGAAGAGCAGAGGCCATGAGACAGCAGAACTGTATGCTCCCTGCATTGGGGGCCTTAAGTCATTTGGTTTGGCTAAAGTTGAGCCATCCAGGGTAGCAGGAGCAAGGAGAACTTATACAAGGCACCAATTCATGCAGGGTCTTCTGGGCATGCTTAAGGAAGTGAGCTTTATCCAGAAGAGGTAGAGGAGGAATCTGAATGGGTCAACCATGGGCTGGTGCCATTGGTCAAGGGTGGGAGGTGGCAGGAAGAAAGGATGTGGGTCAACCCCTGCAATGTCTAGACATATCAGAAAGGAGCCTTTGGGAGATCTGACCTTTTGCGGATCCCTTGTCTTCAGCACAGAGTCGTGTGGAAGAACCGAGCAAGGCAATGATGCCAGTGCATATGGCCCTGGGGAAATGACTGTTTTCCTTTGGATCTCATTGCAGGGGAACCCTGGGAAGCCTGGAGAGTCTGGACCCAAAGGAGAAAGGGTAAGTGTGTGATGGGGGATACAGGCACTTTGCGCTAAGTGTGACCTCTTCACAGCAGCAAGGGGACTTGGAGACTGGCATTGTCCAAGGCCGTGAACATCCTAGCCTGGTATGCCGTCTTCTGTGGGGGCTCAGCTCACTGTTCCCTGGAAGATCATGAGCCCCACAAGGGAGGTTCTTCCCCACTGATATTGTTTGTAGTCGATGTTGTTCCCCCCGCCCCACTTTTGATTATTATTTTAAGGAGTAAAATCATCACAATTACAAATTCAAAGGCAAGCGTTTGGGACATTGACAGATTCCCTTCTCCCCATGTGTGAGCGCCTGCGCTATGTGCGACTCCGAGGTGCCAATTTGCCAGGAGCCAGATTTGTCGCTGGAGGTGACAAGGGAACAGATTTTCCCATAATGAATCGCCTTGGCGCTTCACTCAGAAAGCCTTTCTTTACATTTCATTTCTCCAAAAAACAACAGGGAGTAAAGCCATTTTTCTCTTTCTTCTTTTTGCCGAAAGGAAAGTGGAGTGCAGGAGCATCCTCGCACTCACGACTGCGGCTCCCGTCAGAGGCTCTACATGTCTCGTTTGCCCACAATTCTGCATTTGGTCAGCTTCACGCTGTCACACTGTTGCACGACGCGGACGTCTCTGGCACCCTCCACCCCACCCCCGCTTGTTTTCCATGGTCCTGCAAAGAATTTATCTCGGCTTTCTTTGCAAGTTGGATGGGTGGGGAGCCGGTTGGCTTTTCCTGCAGTGAGAGGAGAGACAAGAATGGGAGCAGAGAGTCTCGGGGATTCTCCCCCTACTTCTTCTGTCCTTCCCATGACTTTGATTCCTTGGTCCTAGGGCTGCAAATACCTGAGTGATGGAGCCAGGGGCGTGGCTGTGGCTCTGAAGGCATTAATGTCCACTTGTAGCATCACTCAGGCGCCCTGAGAGCTATTGCTGCAGATTAGGGGCCAGAGATTTGGTGGAGAGCCATGGAATTCATACCACGAATAGGAATCTCTTTTTTAGTACCTAATCAATACATGGAGAGCTTGCTTTTCCCCTGTTAAGTGGTTTCATGGCACAATGCCAGGAGCCATTAGACTACCCTTTCCTTTGTACTCCTGGGAACATTTGAAATATGGGACAAATCCTTTCACCACAAAGTAATTGGGAGACATTTAATGAATAAGAGACACTGCACCACATATGGTTGCAGGGGGTTGGCATCCAGGTGTATAAGAAACCAGGTCTTTTACAGATGCCTGAATTCAAGATCCCTCACTGAGGTTTCAGTGTCTCCTGAAATGCATCATACCTGGAAGATTCAAGTGACTCCCTTGGATCTGGCTAAATTATTATCATTTTTAATTCACTGCTGTTTTTTGGTTATTGTTGAAATATTAACAGCATTACAAGTCCATAGTTAAACAATAAATATTGCAAAACAAAATAGTGAGTGCCATCTCACCCTTGAGCTCCATTCCCTCCCCAGAGTCTAGCACTGTCTATTTATTTTCCAGAGAGAGTTTGTACATGCAGAACCGTGTGTGTGGGGATGTTATAAACATGCATATACTTTTTATTTAACCTTCTCCCACTCTGAGCATACTTTATCCATTGTTGACTCATTGTATTTTTCATTGTGCACATATGTTGAAGATGGTTTGATGGCTGCACAGTGTTCCTTTTCCTTGGTTCTGGGTCATGGCCACAGTCATGAAACATTTACAGTTAGCATCATGTGTCTCTTCTTTTTGCCCCTGCTCCTTCCTCACTCTGCTACATCCCAGCAATAGAGTCCTAGGACCCTGTGTAAAAACTCTCAGTAGTCTGGGGTTCACTACAGGATGACTCCTGGCCTTGTCATTCTTCCATGTGCCTACCTGGAGCATTCCTTCTTCCATCTGCTTCTCACTTTTCCCATTGTACTCTTTGGTCATTAATGTGGCTGCCATATTTTCAGACCCAGCCACAATTGGGTGGTCATACACATGTTAATACATAAGGGCAGAGGACTGGACGGCCTTGTGCTTGCCATGGTTCCCGAATAATTGATCAAGCTTTCCAAAGTGAGTTAGCTTTGGAGTGACAAGAGCCCTGGACAGTGTCTGAGGCCATTGGATACTCCCCTGTGGACTCACTCGAGCTGAGAGCAGGGAGTAGGAGGTGACCTGAGAGTGCGATACCACTATTGAAACAATGCCACTGCCTCTTCAGCTGTCAGAGAGCAAAACCAGGTCAGGAAGTGGCCAGTGGCTCCACCATCAGTCTCAGGGGTTGGTGCCAGCCTTGTCTAGGGGATGGGACTTGGAAACTACCATTCTTCTTCTTTATTCTATATTCTACAGACTCCTAGTGTGTCTGTGGGCAGAAGACTTTCTCATTGGAACCCCCATGTCTGAATTTGCAAAATTAGGATGGTGCATGTGATGGATTCTGGTGCCCTTCTCACCCCATGTCACGCATGGGTCAGTCAAGACTAAAGTCTCCCTTTCAGTAGCCCAGGGGGCAGATTGGGCAACCCCTTCCTGCAACTGCATAGGGTACATCTTCTACCTCTGAGACACATGCTTATATGCTTTTTTCCTCCTTAGGGAGATCCTGGGATCAAAGGTGACAAAGGACCTCCTGGTGGGAAGGGCCAGCCGGGGGACCCTGGAATCCCAGGCCACAAAGGCCATACAGGCCTGATGGGTCCCCAGGGACCACCTGGGGAGAATGGACCAGCTGGGCCCCCAGGGCCTCCAGGCCAGCCAGGATTTCCAGGATTGAGGGTAAGGATGCTGATGCGGCTTCAGACTCCTCTGACCCCATGTGAAAACCAGGGAATTGTATGAACTTTAGAGGAAGCAGGTTATAGATTCTAGCCTTCTGACTGTGTGTCCTGAGGCAGATTATTTCCCTTCTCTAAGCCTGTTCTTCCTTGTCTGCAATAAGGGATAAACAAAATCCTCTTCTGGCTTGTTGATTATGTGAAATAACTTGCATAGCTGAAGAGGTGCTCAAAATGCAGTCCTGCTTCCATCTATCCCTCTGTGTTCGTTCTTTGGGCTGTAGAGCTCTTCTTCTCCTGTGCAAAATCTCTCGGTAGTCTAAGCTTCACTGCAGAATGGTTCCTGGCTCTGACGCTCTTCCATGTGCCTGCCTGGGGCATTCCATCTTCCCTCTGCTTCTCACTTTTCCCAATTGTAAGAAGAAAGGCTTGTTTAGAGTGGTGCTTTTTCCCTTCTTTTTAACATATTTGATTCTAGAGGCAAGACTTTATTTTACACAGCCTTGTAACATAAGCACACATTTGCTATAAAAAGATAAATGCAAAGTTTCCCTATTGGAAGTATCGGTTGGGACTGGTGGCCCTGTCCATGTGACCTCTCCCCCTCAGTGGCCCATATAGTCCTCTGAGACCCTCATATTCCTCAAAACACAGGTATGGGTGACTTCCATGTCCATGCCAACTCTGATGTTCTGTGGTTACCATCACTTTCTGGTGTTTGTGGGTCTCCTGGGTGTCAGTCACTCTGAAAGAAGCCGGGCAATCAGAGCCTGTCTCTTGGCCAAGTCCAGGTAAAGGTTGGAGAATTCAGTGGCTTCCAAAGCCCTCTTGGTGCGTTGCCAAGTTCTACTAGTCCTGCTACTATGGGTAGTGATTGGAATTCTGGGATTATCATAAAAGATTCTTGACCAGAACAGAATAAGGATATTGAATCTATCTCACGCCAGGCCTGTGCCAGGTGCTGAGGTTACAGAGATGAACACAGTAAGACCCCTGCCTTTGAGGGATGGAAATTGCCCTGAAGGAGTCAGCCAAGAAGGAACAAGCCCAATAGGGCCCAAGGACAGTTCTCCTAGGTTCTTCTAAGAATCATATGTCACTGTATGAGCTTGAAGACAGCACTCTGCTTCTCTGTTTGCCAAACTCATCAGCTTCTGTGTACCAAGCACCAGGACTTAGTCAAACTCTTGTACAGAGCCATGGTGTTCCCAAGCAGGGAAAACCAGACTCCGGAAATCAGAGAGGCCACATGGCCAGGCAGGGGAAATCAAACATGATGTTATGCAGGAGGCAACCTGGAAGCTGCATCTGGAAGGTGAACAGGATGTTGAAGCCTCCCAGGTCTAGTAATGGGAAGGGTGTGTGGGTGAAATTCATCAGTACAGTAGTTTTTACATGAAGGAAACCCATTGAAGAGATGGGAAGGGTGTAGAAGGAAGGGCAATGGTGACTCAGAGTCCAGATCACTGAGTTCAGGTTGCCATGTAGAATAGGATGATACTGCCTACAGTACAGAGAAAGGAGGAGATTAGAGATGTGGAAAGGACTAGGTTAGAAAGATGTGCTTTTCTGTGAATTTACTACCATGAATTTCATGGTTTTCTGAGTCCTCAGGGGTCTTGGGTGGCAGGAGTTACTGGGAAGATAAATAACTTCACCTTCCCTCCCTCCTAGGGAGAGTCTCCATCCATGGAAACCCTGCGGCGCCTTATTCAAGAAGAGCTCGGGAAACAGCTGGAAAGTGAGTAGTTGGACTTGGTTTCAGCCTTACAGAGAAGAGTCCCAGGAAGCAGTCGTTTCATTCATCTTTCAGTACTTTTGCAACCTGGTGTGAGCAAAGCACCCTACTGGCATCTCAAATGTAGAATATCAAAGTTGAGAAGTACCTTGAGGGCTCTAGCCCAGCCCTTATCTGACACACCCACTCTCTCAACAGATGGTCCTTCAGCATCCACTTGATTACATTTAGTGAAGGAGTGCTTACCGTCCACAGTCAACTCTGCTGTGACCATTCATTTATTCTGTGCATTGGATCCTATATCTAATCAGCAAACACTTTTAGGAAGCTTGTGATAGACCTCATGGAACTCACAGTTCAGGGAAGGAGATAGAGAAGCAAACAGACAAGATAATTTTTGTAAAGTAATAAAAGTTCTTTGATTTCATTTGGCACGGAGGGCCTTGAAGGACAGATAAACATACCTACACTAGCTAAGAGGGCAGGGGATGGATGATGAATGCTTCTTGGAGGAGAGGCTATGTGAGCTGTGAGTTGAAAGATGGAATGAGAGACCCCAGATCTTTGGAACAACATGAGTGAAGATCCTGAGGGGAGTAGGCACACAGATTGCTTTCAAAGAACTGAAATCCTTTCAGTCCTATTGCGCTAATTTATTGTTAAACTCCAAGGCTAGCATTCTGCGCATTGTAGATGTTGAGAGAGAGGGAGAGAAGGGTAAGAGGGTGATGGTAATTACACCAGTATGTTGGGTTTTTCCAGGGTTAGTGAAGTTCTCAGCACTTGCAGATGTTATCCTGTGGAAGCTTCTAACCATCTCTTGAGGTACATGTGATGGTTGAAAGTATTGTTAAAGCAGAGACACCAAGTAACTCACCTAAGGCTGAAGAGCTGGTAAGCGTTTGGCCAGAATTTTCACCTGAGTGGCCTCACTGCAGAATCTATGCTCTTTACCATCAGCCTCTCTTGAACAAGGACCATTCTCATTCCTCTGTGATGGGAAATTAGAGGAGAAGAAAATCACAGGTGATTCATCAACAGCAGGAAAGAAGATAAATTCATAAGTATTTTTCAGGCAAACATGTACAAAAGGGAAGGCACATTTATTTATTTATTTTTTTGAGTTAGAGTCTAACTGTGGCCCAGACTGGAGTGCAGTGGCCGCTCCCAGCCACCGCAGCCTCGACTTGCTGGGCTCTGGTGATCCTTCCTCCTCAGCCTTCCAAGGAGCTGGAACTACAGGCGCATGCTACCGCGCCCGGCTAATTTTTTTGATTTATTGTAGAGATGAGGTCTCGCCTGCCCAGACGGGTCTTGAACCCGCAGGCTCAGGCAATCCACTCACCTCAGCCTCCCAAAGGCGCGGGATTACAGGCTGAGCCACCGAGCCCGGCAGACACATTTATTTATGTAATTATGTCTCAGTTGTTTTTCATCTCCCACGAGCCAGATTCTGTGGTAGGTATAAGGACACAGTTGCCAAAAAAAAAAAAAAAAAAAAAGATGACTCTTGTCCCTGCCCTTTTGGAGTGTTTAGGTGAACATGGTCCATCTCTATATTAGTATGTTTTGCATTGCCATCAGGGAATATTTAAAGTGGGTAGTTTATAAAGACAAGAGGTTTATTTGGCTCATGGTTCTGCAGACTGTACAAGAAGCATGGTGTCAGCATCTGCTCCTGGTGAGGCATCAGAAAGCTTACAATCATGGTGGAAGGGGAAGGGGAGCTGGTGTGTTACTTGGGGAGAGAGGAATCAAGAGAGAGAAGGGAGGTGTCAGGCTCTTTTAAGCAACTAGCTCGTACATGTACTAATAGAGCAAGAACTCACTTATCACCTCCAGAAAGGCACCAAGTCATTTATGAAGGTACCACCTCCATGAGCCAGTCACCTCCCACTAAGCCCTACCTCCAACACTGGGGATCACATTTCAACATTAAATTTGGAGGGGATAGACATCTAAACTGTATCAGTCTCCATACACAGAAGGACAAAAGACTATTTCCTGGAGCAAACAGCAAGAAGTAGGTTTTGGGTAGGGGAACAAGGTGTTGAAAGGAAGAAAACAAGGGCTAGAATGGTGGGTCCAATGGCGTGGGCGGTGGTCTAAGTTTTCATGTGTTTAGATCTCTTAGTTCTACCTTGCAAGTGTTAGATTTATTAGTGACAGAAGTAGTCTCTGCCCTTGAAGAGTTTCTGCCCAAGAGCTGAGTCAAGACCAGTTTTGAACCGATTTTCACTGAACTGGTATTTTCTAGGCTTAGTTCTTTCTTCCAAACAATCCTTTGAGGAGGAAGCATGGACTCCACTTTAAAGATGAAAAAAAACAAGACTCAGTGAAGTTGGGCAATTTGCCAAGGTCACAGAAGCAGACCACAAGTGCTCCTGCTGCCTTGTGATAGGAGTGGGAGGAAGAAGCTGACCCGGGAAGCAACCAAGCAGGCAGTCAGAAGACCCTGACTCTACCTTGGTTTCACCACCAGCCTCAGGGGCCTTGGGCAGCCTCCCAGCCTCTGGTCTCAGTCACAGTCTCTACAAGATAGGAGTTTGGGGCCTGATTATCTGTGACTGCATGGAAGACAAAGATGGCTCTTGATCAGATGGACTCTATATCCCCTGTCCAACAGAAAGGCATGCCAGGCCTCTGGATTTTTAAATCAATTCTGTAATCATAACATGTTAGATGTATGGGGATCCTGAATGCTTATAATTGTACTTCAGTTTATAAATGAGGAATTGGAGACTCAGAGAGGAAAAGTCACTAAATAGCTAATATAAGCCTCTCAACTCTCCCATACCAACCTCAATTTACCCAAGTGACAATTACAACAACTGCTACTACTATTATTACTGCTGCTGCTGCGACTACTACCACAGCCCACACTACTATAACTTCAGTCAGTCCTGCCCCTGTTATAGAAGCCAGTGTCTACTGAGCACTTACCAAGTGTGAGGCACTATTTCACATGCATTCTCATTTTCTCCATCCTCACACGAGCCCAACAGGGTAAGTATTATTTCATTTTCTCCATCTCACAGAAAGGGAAAGCAAGGCTGAAAGGTCAAGTAGCTTGCCCAAGGTCACATGGCTGGCAGTGTCTGCACTGGGATCCCAGTCTAGGCAGGAGCTGATCGAATCAACTGGCTTCAGGGGCTAATTGAATCACCACTGTAGTCAGCCCCAGTCTGAAGGTTCACATGCAAGTGCTGTCTATGTACTGTGTAGTATGACATTAGTGTTGTTTCTGCAGGTTATTTTCCCCTTGGCAGTGAGTTGTCATCCTGCTTTGTGTCTGCTGTCTCTTCTTCATGAAGTATCTCTCTGTTTTTCTTACTCTACAGCCAAACTCGCCTACCTCCTGGCCCAGATGCCCCCAGCACACATGAAGGCATCTCAAGGCAGACCTGGGGCCCCAGGGCCCCCTGGAAAAGATGGGCTTCCAGGTCGGGCCGGGCCCATGGGGGAGCCAGGCCGACCTGGGCAGGGAGGTCTGGAAGGACCCTCTGGACCCATAGGTCCCAAAGGTGAGTAGAGACCTAGGGAAGAGATGTGCTTTGCAGACTCCAGGAGGGCAGAGAGGAACTGGGGTGTGGCGTGGCACTCCAGCAGAGCATGCATTATTCATTCCATTCTCACTCCCTGCAGCTTGGTAACACCCTGAATTTTGGCATCATATAATTTTTTCATATGTATAAGAGGTTTTCATACTTGGCATTTTTACAAAATTATGCTTTTGCTAGGAAGATTGAATCAATTCCCTCCTACTTTCTCCTTCCTTCTCCATCTCTGCTGCCCGGTTTCAAGGGGGTAAACAATATGCCTTCTTTGTTCCCTACTGAGTTTAAAACTAATTGAGGAATGAGATGTATTCTCCAGGCAAATGGAGATTGAGTGCCAGATTTAAAACTTGATAAAGTGGCTTTAAGCTGCAGCTAAAATGGCTATTACCCACCCAGTTCTCAGGTAGAGTGACTTACTTGGGCATTAAAGCGCTGATCAAGAGTAGGTCTCTCATTCAAGGGCAGGAGCTTGTCCCACTTAAGTCACCACACAGTGATGAGTAGGTCAGAATGTTTGTTCTCTCTGTGGGAAGACAGATATGAAAGCGAGAGGAAGGAAAAGAAATAAATAAAAGCCATTTTTAATGCCTTGCTTGCTTTCGAATAGCTTATAATATTGAGAATATTTTTAACATAAGGCAATTTCAAATAAAGATAAAAAAAGTGGAACACCAACCTCATAATTCACTCCCTTCTGAGGTGGAGCAAGTATGGGGTGGAGAAGGAAGGACTCGGAATTAAGGAAACGGAAGCCCCTAACATCTTATTTTTTTGATCTCTCGTTTTTATTGCTTCTTTATTTATCCATTTCCTTTGCTGTTTCTCCTATTAAAACACATCTTGACAAATCTGTGTATTCTAGTCCTACCTATATTAATTCATAAAACAAAATATATGAAACAAATGTCAACAAGAAAGCATAAAACATAGAGAACATCAGACTATGGCAGAATACTGACCAAATGTAATCATTATAATAAAAATGAATGGTCTAGAGTCCCAATGAACTAGCAGACCTTCAATTGAAATGGCAAATAAAATATGATATGTTGCATCCAGAAGATATCTTGGAAACAATGTGGCCAGGAAATAAAAGGTGATTGACTTAAGAAACCAGTTGTGAAAGACAGTTTAATCAAATCTGTACAATATGAATTCAAATATGATCTCTAATATTCTCCCAGGGGGAATGTACCCCTCTGTCCTTTGAATATTTTTAGTGTATTTTTTTTTAATTCCTATGATGGTACTTATCACATTCTGTCTCATATTAGAATGTTTTTGTGCCCTGTTTCATCTCTCTTGTTAGATTTCAAGCTTCTTGACAGTACAGTTGTGTTTCACTTATCACTGCATATGGGCATGTAACCTAGCATGCTGAATTTATTTATTTATGACCCAATTCCTTCTTGATAAAGGTTCAGTTAAAATGCCATGAGAAACAGGAAGCGTAGACATGTGTATGGGTATTTATGTGGACTTGTGTGTATACAATATATATGAGAGTGTGTAGGTGTATACATTCAGTTGTATGAGTGAGTCAGTCTGTATGTGTATATGAATGCATGTATGTATTTGATAATATACATGTTTGTGAATGTGTGTTTGGCATTGGATAGGTGTGTGCTTGAGCAAATGTTCATGTTTAAATACAGGTGTATTTGAGCATGGTTTAAAAGGGAGTTTCTATTTGGGAGTGATCTCATGTGCATATTTCTGAATGGGTGTATTTGAGTGTGTGTGTGTGTGTTTGTGTGAATGGGAATGGGAGGTATAGTGTGGAGTGAGTGCTTGTGTGCAGGGTGGGTTAGGATGGTTAGAGTAAAAGGATGCAACAGCCCAGGGTTGCACCTGTATGTTCTGTAGGTAGAACACCCTGTCTCTGCCCTCCTCATAGGTCTGTATCCTCAAAGGTATTTTGTTTGTTTGCTTGTTTTTTTTTTTAACTAGGTGAGCGAGGAACCAAAGGTGACCCAGGTGTACCCGGAATTGGGCTTCGAGGCGAGATGGGACCCCCTGGAATCCCAGGTATGAATAGAGTCCAGGGTCTCAGGGGTAGGGGTAGCCACATGGAGGTAAGAGACACACAGCAGGACTTCAACCCCAAACAGTACAGTACTCAGGAAAAGGTAGAGAGAAGGTGTTAGGTTCAACTGATGAGGAAACAGAGATCACTAACTTATTTGTATTAAATATTCCTAAAATGCCAGCTCCTTGACTTATAAAGAAAACAGCAAGAAACTGATAAGAAAACTGAATCCTGGAGAAAAAAAATGACTTGGGCTAAATCAGTCCAGGCAACAATGCTGGGGGACATGTTTCCTTTCAGCATTCCAATTGTATATTAACTATCGTAAGTGCTAAGGAGCCTCATATGAAAACGGTGCCTATTTTGTTTAACCCAGCATTTTCTAAACTCACTTGAAAGAGTAGTCCTTTTTCTGTCACTATGCACTTGTAAATACCCCTTTAGTATTTCTCACAATATGCTGGGAATACTGGCTCTGTGGCAGGATGGTCTGCCATCCTGGGACTAACAGGGTTCCTGGGACACAGGGATGCCAGTTTTAAAACCAGAATATAACTGAGAAAATTGGGACAAGTTGGTCATTCTACCTAGTGGCTATACTGGAAAATCTCTATAATATGGCAATAATCATGTTCCAAGATTAGGTGTCAGTGTAGAAGGTGGAAGAAACTAGAATATATATTTATCAAACTCCACTTCATTGAGACTACTATTTCTCATTTAATTCTAATTTAGATATTTACCTGAGGTCATTAATGAATATTGGGCTTATAGATAATTTAAATTTTAGTATTCATAGCTTTATTATATTCCAAATTTTCTATAGTGGGCATTTTTTATTATTTTCATTTGAGAAGATAATTAGGACTATATTAGAAATATTTATTTTATACATGCCTACTTTAAAAATGTCTCATGATATTAAGGATATTTTTAAAATAATCCAGTTTCAAATAAAAATTAAAAAGAAGAGCAGAAATAATTAGAGGAAATCATTGTTCCAATGTGAAGGTGAGAGAGTGACCACATTTTAGTGGTTCCTAGCTGAAAGAATGAATAACACTGCTGGTCTCAAGACTTGATTTAGTCAGAAATATAGATTAACAACCTAATAAGTATTAACAGAATTCATTAAATGTCTAAAGATATTTTTTAAGGGAAAAGTTTACTTTTTGTTAATTTTATAGGAAGTCTTCTGACAAGACAATGACCAAGATTTAACAAGAAATATCACTATTAGAATTAGCTATAGTACTTTGCACTGATGTTCTAAGTTGCCAAAGCTAAAAAGGAAGATATATTGATTATATATTACCTTATGATGCTTAATAAGTAGAGGGACAGAAGTTTACTATGAGTAATATTTTCTGGATCTAAATTTGGGGCTAAGGGTCAATTACTTACATCCTGGATATTGTCTTTGATCATGATTTTTTCAGAATAGATTAATGTAGTCCCAGTATGTGGTTCAAATTTAACATGCAGATAAAACTGAAAGAAATACAGAAGATTTGGGACAAGTCAGATATTGGATAATGGAATGTCACCAGGTAACTCTAAGGACAAATAAACTGGGGCTGATGTTTGTTGATCAGGAAGGACTTGGTGTCCTCCTCTTCATTTAGACACATCTCTCGAACCATGTAAGAGCCTAGATGGCCTTGTTTCTCATTCGATTCTTAAGTAAAAATATGCTTCCTACCTGGTCTAGATCTATCCTGGATTACATCTCTTTGATGGTACCAGAATCACTGTCCTAGTTCACATAGTTAAGGCTACCTGTTGTACTTGTTGACCATCCTAGTTGCTCAGAGGTCCCAGACCATGGGGTGGTCTCTCTGAAGTTGTTTCAAGTCCTGGGTTTATAGTGAATGAAAGCTGTGAAGGCAGGGCCCATTTGCTCCCCAAAGGACCTTGGACTACCTTTTGTTTCTTTTTGCTTTTTGGACCAGGTCAACCTGGGCAACCTGGCTATGCTAAGGATGGACTTCCCGGGACCCCTGGCCCTCAGGGGGAGACAGGACCAGCTGGGCATCCTGGCCCCCCAGGTCCACCTGGCCCCCCTGGCCAGTGTGACCCTTCCCAGTGTGCCTACTTTGCCAGTCTTGCTGCCCGGCCAAGTAATGTGAAGGGCCCCTAGAAGATTCCAGAAAGCCAGAAGACTGCAATGGATTTCTAAAACTTGAACTCAAAGCCCAGTGGGCTTGAAACATCTCAGCTACATGTTTCTATTTTTCTTTATTTCTTTTATTGTTTGTTTTCTGTTTGATTTTCTTGAGAGACCTCAAAATTATTAAATCCAACAGATGCTGCCGGTCGGTCAGATTATTATTAATATTATTATTGTTGTTAATTATTATTATTATTTCATATACGAATGCTTTGTGAGTTGTGTTCCACTCCTTTAAAGTTGGGAAAACTTGATTTGTGGGGCAGGGGATTGTTTTTCCATTCTTCTGACAGCCTCCAACTGAAGCGTAACTGCCCATTTTAAGGAAACTCTTGGTGCTATGAAACCTTGACCAGACACTTGACAAATTTACCTCTTTCCTTGAAAGAAAAATTGTAGAAAATGAGCCAATGGGCTTCTATTCTCAGTCGTGCCCAGAGATTGCCCAGGAGGAAATAACCCAAACATTGCTACTTCCCAGAAGAGGAAAATGAAGTAGGAAGAGAAAAAGTTTGCAACCATGAAGAAAGTTTCCACCTCCTGATGGAAATTGCATGCAGAGAGTACAGTATCAGCCCTTAGGGAGCACCCCAGTCTCCTCATTGCTTCAAACTTGCAGAAGCAGAATAATGGCCATGGGTTGACAATGTCTTTGTGGGATCTTGTGTCTGGGATGCCTGTGCAGAGGAGCCAGCCCTTTAGTGTTAATTTGGTTTCTAATCTGTGGGTAGGACTCCTTCAAGTTCCTCTTGTTGGTTTCAATCACATTAATTATAAAACAAGAGTGTGGAGTGACCATTCACTTGTGTTTTTCTAATGGTGGGCAATTGGCACTGACCAGAGATGTGAAATCTGTATCTCCAGGGCTCCAACTTTGAATAAATGGTAATGAGAGCATGTGTGTATGTGACATGGCCTGCTCGAGCAGGTGCTCAATAAACCCAAGTTTCCTCCTCCTCAATTCCTCTTGGTGCTTCATTTCTCCTCTCCAGCATCTACCTGGGTATGAGCTCTGGGGTGCGCCCCTTTCTTCTGGGACCCTAGCACAGAGTCCACATGTTCAGTTCACATGCCAATGAACTAGGGAGTGAATGTGTGTGTATGACTGAGCTAGTCCTGGGCCATTCATAGCATGCCCTTCACTGAAGCAGCTCCAGATGTTACACTGTGCAAGAAAGCATTTGAATGTGCACATTTGCTCAGGATCACAGTGGGAAAGGAAATGCAGCAAGTTGAAAAGTTGGTTTAATGCCAATTCCTGCTAAACTGTATCTAGAGACCAGATAATTCAACAGTGGTCTGAATGATGTGCTCTTCCTGCATTTGTTCTTGACTGACTGATGACTGATTTATTGATTCATCAATCTATTCATTTGTCCATTGACCCAAGACATCAGCCACTTGTAGAATAGTGTAGCCTATGTTTATCAAGCACCAACATTGTGTCATGTCTATACTACATGTTTCTAATTGATTTAGGAACCAGAAGCATAGCCATCCAAAGAAGTTGAATGCATCTATGGGTAGAGAAGTATCATTACATTACATTAAAACAAAATCTGATACTCATCCTCTTTCTCAGCCACTTAGTGCCAATTCTAAATGTGAATGAGTGTCAAGGGTCCCAAGGAAGCAATGCCTGTCAGTGCAGAATGAGATGGCCTCGTTCTAAATTTTTTTCACATTTTTCATCTCAGTTGGCTCTCACAACCATTTAAGACACAGAAAATATTATTATAATACCTTTTTTCATTTGAAGAAACAATCTCAGGATCTCAGAAATGTTCTAATCCAGTGACTTTTCACATTTTTTGACCATGACCCATAGTAACAGGTACAATTTCTTTCAGACTTGGTATATGTGAGAATATGTAAAGCAAGGGTTTTATAATAAAATATTTACCTAATCAAGACAATACTCTCTAACATTCACTATTCTATATCTTTTTTATTATTAAAGTAGACTAATTTTAAGAGCAGCTTTAGGTTCATAGCAAAATTAAAAGGAAGGTACAGATTTCCCAAATGCTCTCTGCCCTCACATACACACAGCCTCCCCATCATCAAAATCCCACACTAGAGTGGTACATTTGTTACAGTTGACAAACCTACATTGACACATTGTTATCAACACACATCCATAAGTTTACACGAGGGTTCACTCTCAGTATTGTACGTTCTATGGGTTTGGACTAATATGTACAGTAATGATACATGTCCACCATTGAGAAGCATATAGAATAGTTTCACTGCCCTAAAATGTCTCCTGTGCTCTGTCTAGTTATCCTGTTCTTCCCTCTAACCTCTGGCAACCACTGCTTCCGAGTTTTTTTTTTGTCTCTATAATTTTTGTCTTCTTTCTCATAGTATTATGTGTTTGAGGTTCCTCTATGTCTTTTCTTGGTTTAGTAACTTTTTTTTGTTCGTTGAATAACATTCCATTGTCTCTGGATGTTCCATAGTTTCTCCACCAGTAGAAGGACATCTTGGTTGCTTTTAAGTTTGGGCACTTATGAATAAAGTTGCAGTAAATATCCATGTGTACATAAAATTTTTTTGTGTGGACATAAGTTTTCAACTCATTTGGGTAAATACCAAGGAGCACAAATTCTGGATTGCATGGTAATAGTATGTTTAGTTTTGTAAGAAACTGCCAGACTATCTTTCAAAATAGCTGCATAATTTTGCATTCCCACTAGCAATGCAGAAATGAATGAGAATTTCTGTTGTTCCACATTTTCACCAGCATTTTGTGTTGCTATTGTTTTTGATATTGGTTATTTTAATAGGTATGGAGAGATGTCTAATTATTGTTTTAATTAGCAGTTTCCTAATGACATATGATAGTAAGCATCATTTTAACATGCTTATTTTCAGTTCGATTATCTTCTTTGTTGAAGTATATGTTCAGATATTTTGCCCATTTAAAAAATTGGATTAGCCGGGCTTGGTGGTTCAACCTGTAATCCTGCGCCTTGGGAGGCTGAGGTGAGTGGATTGCCTGAGCCTGCGGGTTCAAGACCCGCCTGGGCAACTTGATGAGACCTCATCTCTACCATAAATTAAAAAAAAAAAATTAGCCGGGTGTGGTAGCGCGTGCCTGTAATTCCAGCTACTTGGAAGGCTGAGGCGAAAGGATCGTTGGAGCCTAGCAGGTTGAGGCTGCGGTGACCGGGAGCGGCCACTGAACTCCAGTCTGGGCGACAGAGTGAGACTCCAACTAAAAAAAAAAATAATTTGGATTATCTGATTTTTTTGTGTTATTGTTGAGTTTCAGGAGTTCTGTGTATATTTTAGATAACAGTTATTTATTATTGATTTATCAGTGAGGTGAGTAGGGCAATCAGGACTAAACTTTGACTTTTTTTCTCCTGCCAAAATTTCTAACTAAGAGGCCTGGGGAACCATACCCTTCAAACCATAAAGTCTCATCAGTTGGGTTTTATTAACAATATAATGTGGCTTACTCTCCAATCTGATTCTGACCTGACTTCATGTAACAGATAAAGATGGAAATTAAAATATTTTGCCCCAAATATGTTCCTTTGACATATTTTAAAATGACACTGCAAAGCCATCTCTTGGGGAAATCTGCATCTGTCGAGAGAATCTCCTTCCTTAGGAAGAATCTGACAACTCTTAAGACATTTGCCAGGGATTCTCTCTGAAGTCAGCTACTTAGAGGCTTCATCTACATAACAAGAACCGTGTCTTCCACAGCCTACCTTAGCTTAACTCAAGCGTTTCAAATTTTTTAGACATAGCTTAAGCTTACCGTTTTAGCTAATTGCCAATCAGAAAATCTTTGAATCCACCTATGACCTCTAAGCCCTTTCTGAACCAAACCAATGCACACCTCACATATATTGATTTACATCCTTGCCTGTAAACTGCTGTCCCCATAGAAGGTATAAAACTAGCTGTAAACCTACCACCTTGGGCACCTGTTCTCAGGGCTGCTTGAGACTGTGCCATGGGCCATGGTCACTCATATTTGACTCAGAATAAACCTTTTAAAACACATTTTGGAAGAATTTGGATTTTTTTCTGTTGCCCACAGAAACAAAACCAAATGTGTCACATTTGAATGTTTCATTCTGAGACTTAGGTATGGCTAATTTTTAGAGTTTAAAATGCTTCATCCTGTGAGGAATACTCATGAGAGATATAGAATGTGGCGTGTGGATTAATAATATTTGCTTGTTTGTTTTTTATATCCTTGGCAAAATAAAGATCTGGTTCAAATATCTCATATTGCTTCAGCTATCTCATATATTCAGTATTAGTTTACAGCTCCCACATCTGGGACTGTCTGGTGTAATCCAAATCCAGATTTAACTTTACAAATGGGGAAAATGAGATTCAGAAAGAGTGATTTTCTTAAGAGTATAAATGTTGAAGCCTCATATTTGGGTACAAGGATTTATCCCACTTGTTTAGTGAGTCCCTGATATGTCTGATAATAAAAACTTGTAGACAAACTTTATTTTTAGCAGTAGTATTTGAAACCACTCATATATGGTCATGGGGTAAAAACGGTAGAAGAAACCTGAGGCTTGCGAAGGTACAGCAAAGATTAGAAATTAACAACTTTGTTGTTTCTAAGTTTGCTTTCACTTCAATAGAGAGCAGTTGATTATCTTCACGTGTTGATCGCTGGGGAGAGGAGAAACTGCTGTGGAGGCTGATAAACATATTTTCCCTTAAAAAATGAGTGCAAGTTTGCACAGATCTCCTTGATGACATCCTAAAATTTGGTCACCCAATGGGTGTAAGCAGCTCTAATCTCCAGGGATCCCACCTCCCATAAACCTCTATAATTACTTACTGCCCAGGATTCAGTAGCCGGTGGTTATAGAACTTCCTTTTTAGATAGCCTCTCTATTATAAAACCTAAGAATGATGTTTGAGATATTTTTCAGACTTTATACTCTGATGAACCTGAGGCCCCCACCTGGACCCAGGACATATACCAAGGAACTGGCTTCACCAGTCCTATAACCCACTCCCAGAAACAGTCTCTGTGACGTGAAGACAGTTTTGACACCTTCCATGATTTTTAACCCCTACCAATCAGTAGCACCTATTCCTTAGCTTTCCTGCCTACCTAATTATTTATTTAAAAACCCTGCCGGGCTCGGTGGCTCAGCCTGTAATCCCTCGTCTTTGGGAGGCTGAGGTGAGTGGATTGCCTGAGCCCGCGGGTTCGAGACCCGCCTGAGCAGCGATACCTCATCTCTACAATAAATCAAAAAATCAGCCAGGCGTGGTAGCGCATGCCTTTAATTCTGGCTACTCGGAAGGCTGAGGCAGAAGGATCTCCGGAGCCCAGCAAGCGAGGCTGCGGTGGCCGGGAGCGGCCACTGCACTCCAGTCTGGGCAACCGAGTGAGACTCCAACTCAAAAACAAAAAACAAAACAAAAACCCTAGTCTAAGAGTCTCAGATTTGAGAAATACTTCCTATCCTCCTCACTCAGTTACTATCCGATATGAAACCCTTTTTCTACTGTAACAGCTGCTGTCAGTCTGTTTTTCTGGGCAATGGGCATAAGAACCTGATCAGATCAGGCTGTAACAGATTCCAGGGAACTGCCCTAGACCACTGAGGGTCTCTGGGCATTGTATTGAGTGATATCGGTTTTGTTGTCTCCCCAGGAGATTTTAGAAATCTCTGAACTACCTCCCTGGCCCGTTTGCTATCTCCCTCCCAGCCTGCTCAACTTCCCAGAATCACATGTGTTTCAACCCAAGCCCTGGGACTCAGGATTTAGGTAAACCCAGAACTTGTGCAGAATCAGATGTTCCCACAGATTATAAGACTTATAAAAATGAGATACTCCCTTCTTCCTGTTGTGAGGCCTGGATAGATGGGAAGAGACAGAATGGTTGGGAAGAGACAGAATGCACACAAGTGGCCCAAGACTTGGGCTTAAGCCTGCAGTCTCCAGCATTTTC